AGACAGTGAATGAGCCACTGATTGGCAGTTAAGAACATGGGATGTCATACCAGCCGGAAGTGAAATGAACCACATATTGGCTGACATCGAAGGCATCGTTAGAGACACTTGTCGTCACGTTTTCTTTCTTTCTTTCTTTCTTTCTTTCTCAACAACTTTTTAATTCTGTAAATTTAGTGATGATTTAAACATTTATTGAAATGTAAAGAACTTTTATATAAATAAATAGAAATTCTCTAATTGTCTTAATTTTAAGGTGTATTGTATGACAATTGCTGGGATTTGAGGCCATAAGAACCGATAGGGAGACAAGTATGCAGTTATCTTTGTCTGTCATTTGTGCCAAAACAGGGATAACCAATGGATGGGGTATTCAAACCGCTATAATAGGATTAAAGATTTAAAATCTTTGATGCATTTCCTGAATTGTGGTTAACGTATAGCATTGCTGTGTGTGAGTTGTTTTAACTTAACTTAATCATAATTTATAATGTTATATTACTAAATGTAAAAATTTTTGAAGTTTATTATTTAGAAAAATAAATCATTCATGCTTTTTTGCTTAATTTATTTTTATGAAATATTGCTAATTATATGAAATATACTGAATATAAAAATAAAATTTTATTGTTTCACAATTCATGCCAAACAATCATTAATTATTGAAATAAATTAAATTATTAAATGACATCAAAGGTAAGCAAAAATAGCTTACAATAAAATAATTAGCTTTAAAAATATTGATACAATTAACTGTTTACAAATATTTCAAATTGTGTTTTATTTCAACAGTTAAACAAATAAGTATTAAAGATTAAATTTCCATTTTTTGCATTTCACCAAATTTTACGCTAATTTTTCTTTACATTTACACATCGATTGTTTGAATTGTATTTCATTTCAGTTTAAAAAAGAATTTTAACGACAACAAGGTTTGACAGCAGTTTAACTACAGTTCCAAACACTCAATTCTTGAAAATGTATTAAAATGTTGATTCTCTTATTTATTGTTTATTTTAGCGAATTTTATTATACATTTTACTTTACTGTTATAAAACATAATTTATTTTTTAAGTTTTTGTTTAATTTTTAAATATTTATAAAGATGATATTATAATTTTCCAAAATGTACAAATTATTTAGATTTGTTACACAATTGTGTATAATATAACTTACATTATGTACATTTTGTTTGATGTGTGAATGGTGTAAAATATGAGAATGTAGTTCAAACCTATTTACCACAATTTTCTTATAGAATTGTAACTAAAAAATCAAAAAATGTTCAAAAATTCAATCCATGAAAAGAGTTCTTAAGTTTAGTTTTATTTTATGATCTGAAAAGAAAACAAATTGTATGAAAGGCTGTGAATATAAGTTATATGCGATGTTTAGTTCAAAATCGCTTGAATTAATCAAATGTTAACATATTTTTTCAAACTAATAGTTTAGAGTTAAATATAAAAAATGTGTCACTTTTTAGGATTAAATCTATTGTATAAGAATTTATTGAATACTCATTGTTTATGAAGCAGTTTTAATTAATCCGTCGATTAATGAGATTCTAATGAATCAATAAAATATGTGCTTCAAGTGATGGTATGAAGACTTTACTGTTACCCATATCTGGCCTTTTATATTACAGTCAAATATAAGAGATTTTGATTTTTTATATATTTTTTAGGAAATAACACTTTTATAAGCAATGGATTTGAGTTGAAAAGCAATTTATATGAAAGAAATCGTTGGGCCATAAAAACAGTGACAGCAGAGCACTGGTAGACAATAGAAGAGTAGATGTCATTGAATGCCATTAATTATAGTATATATCAAACCAATCAAACAGAAAACCTAAATAATTCGCATATTTTTGGTTTTAAATCGATTTCGCATATAATTTATAAATGTATTTAAATATAGTGTTTAAAACATAAGCTATATTTTTATATTAGTAATCATATATTTAAAGCATGAATATAATCTGTATTCTTGCTATTTGTATGCAATTGTTTTGTATAAAAGATATATCAAAATGAAAAATGAATTAATATTTGTATTTTCTTTAAAAATTGTCAAAATATATAATAAGTTAAAAACAATTTTGCAAATGATATATAACTTCTCATGTAATCAATTGTCTATTTGTGTTGATTTAGATTATTTTGCACTCAATTACTGTAAGAATCCTTAAATTCTATATATATTCTTAAGTGTAATCGCATTGTGAGACTTAATTTGATTACTTTCTTAACAATTAATTGATTTAAATATAGATAAAGATGTAATAAATGATAAAATGCACAAAAAATCACAACTTTATAAACAGTGAAATGAATAGCGAATTGAATGTCATATAATTCTGTGGCAATTCTGGCATTCAATCGATTCTGTAATGCAATCGAGTGTTGAATGCAATGAATGCACGCATTGTTGCCATCCATTGGCTCTCAAACACAACACGTGTTTTGAGGCGTTATTTATGGCCACAAAAAGTGTGTATATTTTGAAAGTGTTTGTCTTTGAAAGCGATTGTCTTGTGTTGTCTTGTCTTCAGCCACTCTTAGCGGTGATGTCTTTGTGTCCGACGAGTCATAAGACTGTCATTATATTAGACGAAAGCAATTACTTCTTGGAGACGAGTTGTGAGCAGACGTTTGACTTCGATGTGGTCAACAAATCTCGACAGCCGTCGGGAATCATCCCATTGTCGCCGATCGGCAAATCTTTGTGGACCTGTTCTGTGGAAGCGGTGGCCGAGTATTGCCGTATCGTTTGGGATATCTATCCGTCGGGCGAACGACTGATTCAGTTCGTGGTCTGCGGATCCGATTCGGCCGCCAATTGCAACGACTGGAACAGCGATGACCAGAACCTCCAGAAGTGTATGGAATGGATGGCCAAAAGCGGATCAATGGCTCACTTGAAGGCTAAACACCAGAAGAGAGCCGAAAGAAGTCAAATACTGAACGGCTTTCATAAAGCGATTGAATCGCTTTCGGTGTCAACTCATCTCCAAGACTATCACCGAAACGGCGACTCTTCTGCCGCTCTCCCAAATGGCGGGCGAATTGTCTGTATTTCTTCGTTTCGAAACGACTCTCACATCAAATCAGTCGAGGATTCGGTCAAAGAGTTGATAACCGAAAGAAATGAATTGATTTTAAAGCAAAGAAAAGTGGATCCAAAATGTCAGTTATTGACGACAACTTTCTGCGAATTGGTTTTTATCAATACGTTTCCCATCGAAGACCAGTCGACCACTTCTAAGATCATTGAAATACCGAGACATCAGTTGAACTCATTTATCTCATCCGAAGTTTATTCAGTAAAATCGGGTCGTTTTCTGGCGTCAAAACTGTCGGCATTAGTGTTGAATCACTACGAGTTGGCCTCCACTACAGTCACCGGTATTCCCATGAAAGAGGAGCAGAACGCCAGCTCTTCAGGTTTGGACCACTCCTTATGACAATCTATTAACTCGAATACTGTCCGACATTTCGACTTTAATGTTGCCTTAAGAATATGATTAGCAGTCCCTTTGAGTCCCAAACTTAGCAATACCTTAACAATGGTTAGTAATGAGTAAACATTAAAGTCGAAAGTGTGGATACATTGTCGATATAAATGACATTAATGTTTGTGTCGTTCTTATAGCCAACTATGACGTGGAGATCTTGCACTCAAACAAAGCGCACTCCGACTCATTCAGATCTGGACTTATTAACAATGAAGACGTTTGTATGCAAACAAGTAATGATTACCACACAATCAAACTCCGATGGATAACTCCCCGAACCAATGCTCTTGAGCTCCACTACTGTACGACCGCTCATAGGATCACATCTGTCGATGTGAACAGTCGACCGGCCAGTTGTCTAACAAACTTCTTGCTGTCTGGACGGACAGTGATGTTAGAGATGCCGCGACTGAAGGGCAAAATCATGTCTCACATGCTGTCCAGCCATTGCGGAGAACTCTATATCCATACGTTAGGCACCAGTCGTTCAATACTGGAAGACCCGCCCTCTATAAGTGAAGGAAGCGGTGGTCGAGTGACTGACTATCGGATCAATGATTTCGGAGAAATGATGAAAAGGAATCGTTTGGTTGCCTGTCGTCCGATTCACGGCTCCAATAAAGAGATCATCGAAAAGGCGAAGCATTCGTTGGCTAAACAAACCATTTATTGGCCGCTTGTTATCGGAAACACAATCTTATTTAATATTCAAATCCAAATCCAAAACTTTCTCAATTTAGTACCAAAAGAGTATTTAACAGAAGAGGAGGTCATGGAGTGTAAGAAATCAATCTATCATTTGGTGGGAATGGAGAGCAAAGGGACGAACCTTCCGGTGCCCACAATCGGCATCAAAGGCAAGGGTCCCAAAAGGGAAGAGTTATATCGCATGCT